CTGGTTGTGACATTTTGTGGAAATAATCTGTTGGGTAGACTGTTATATGTTGATCCTTACATTCACACCAAGATGGTATGTTGCTGTCTTACCTGCCTGCATAACCAATTAATAGACAGAAAATAACCTATTGCGTAGGGTGTTATATGTTGATCCTTACATTCACACCAAGATGGTATGTTGCTGTCTTACCCGCCTGCATAACCAATTAATAGACAGAAAATAACCTGTTGCGTAGACTGTTATATGTTGATCCTTACATTCACACCAAGATGGTATGTTGCTGTCTTACCTGCCTGCATAACCAATTAATAGACAGAAAATAACCTGTTGCGTAGACTGTTATATGTTGATCCTTACATTCACACCAAGATGGTGTGTTGCTGTCTTACCTGCCTGCATAAACAATTAATAGACAGAAAATAACCTGTTGCGTAGGCTGTTATATGTTGATCCTTACATTCACACCAAGATGGTGTGTTGCTGTCTTACCTGCCTATATAAACAATTAATAGACAGAAAATAACCTATTGCGTAGACTGTTATATGTTCTGTAATGAAACGAAAGTTGCACTTTGTGTAGTTTTAATGTAAGGTTTTTAATGTGGTTTATTTTTAGATTTAAGCTCAGTATTTCAAAGATTACGTAAGTAGTTTTTTTTAATAACTTCAAATTATTCTCATTTAAAAAGCTCTTCTCTGATGCTATAGTAATACATATACTAGGTGTTAACTTTCTTAAAAAACCTAAAATATCTAACCCTGGTGTGACAATAACAAATGAAAATTATAAAAAGTAAAATTATTTAAGACTTGGCTAGTTTTACACTGGAGGTTTACCTAGATTCTTAACCTACAAATTACTGATTTGATTTTACATCTCTACCACTAGGATCCATGTGTTGCTTCCTATTGAATACTTTTGTTTTGTTTGTTACAAACAAAAAGTGTAAAGAATAACCACTGTGTGAAATTACTCATTTTTTTATGTAAAATTCACTGGAGATCCCTAAAGCAATTACTGGGATTAAGTGTAACATTGATGTTATTTTCATATATATATATGATTTTTGTGTAACTATAATGTTATTAGGGTTCTTGTAACTAACTGAGTCAAAAGCAATTTGAGGTACAAAAATATTAGAAAATGTATTAAAAAATCTGCATGGGGTCCTCATTGGTAATTCTAGGGTTGAAGTGTTAAAAGCAGTGGGGAGTATTAATATTTACATCTCTTGAATTTGGCCAAGTAATTTTTATCTAAACAGACATTCTGTTAACAGCTCCTTTACATCAGTGTAAATTACTTGTTTCTTTCTTATAGGACAGCTGTTTGTCTCGTGGTTTCAGGACCTGGGCTTCTACACGCTGTGGGTGGAATGGCTAATGCTCATATTAATGGCTGGTCAGTGACAGATATGATAAGCAGAAAGGTTTATTTTTATAAATGATGTGATTTTTCAGTCTTTTTTTTTTAAAAGCTATAGTTGTCACTTTGTATTAATGTTTTCCTTTGTATCAGATGTGTGTAAATGATAATCACATTGTAGAAATTCAGAACTATCACTAATCACAGTCAGAGGAAACTTTAAACACCTTTCTGGTTCTGTGAGATATCAAACACAGAACTATCACTAATCACAGTCATGAGGAAACTTTAAACACCTTTCTGGTTCTGTGAGATATCAAAGCAGAGAACTATCTCTAATCATAGTCACGAGGAAACATTAAACACCTTTCTGGTTCTGTGAGATATCAAACAGTGACCTACCACTAATCACAGTCACAAGGAAACTTTAAACACCTTTCTGGTTCTGTGAGATATCAAACAGAGAACTATCACAGTCACAAGGAAACTTTAAACACCTTTCTGGTTCTGTGAGATATCAAACAGAGAACTATCACAGTCACAAGGAAACTTTAAACACCTTTCTGGTTCTGTGAGACATCAAACAGAGAACTACCACTAATCATAGTCACGAGGAAACTTTAAACACCTTTCTGGGTCTGTGAGATATCAAACAGAGAACTATCACTAATCACAAGGAAACTTTAAACACCTTTCTGGTTCTGTGAGATATCAAACAGTGAACTACCACTAATCACAGTCATGAGGAAACTTTAAACACCTTTCTGGTTCTCTGAGATATCAAACAGAAAACTATCACTAATCACATTCATGAGGAAACTTTAAACACCTTTCTGGTTCTGTGAGATATCAAACAGTGAACTATCATTAATCACAGTCACAAGGAAACTTTAAACACCTTTCTGGTTCTGTGAGATATCAAACACAGAACTATCACTAATCACAGTCATGAGGAAACTTTAAACACCTTTCTGGTAAAAAACTTAATGTTTAAGATAATCCAAGATTTTAAAAACTTAACGTTTAAGATAATCCAGGAGACTGTTTGATATCTCACAGAACCAGAAAGGTGTTTAAAGTTTCCTCATGACTGTGATTAGTGATAGTTCTCTGTTTGATATCTCACAGAACCAGAAAGGTGTTTAAAGTTTCCTCATGACTGTGATAGTTCTCTGTTTGATATCTCACAGAACCAGAAAGGTGTTTTTTTCTATTACAGGCCTTTGTTAGTCATTGGTGGGTCAAGTGATCAGGATCAAGAAGGAATGGGAGGTTTTCAAGAGTTCCCTCAGGTGATTTATTATTTATAAAATTTCTGGACTTCTTGGAACTCATTATTGCCGCTTCAGTTTGAATACTGAAAGTCAACTTTAGTGACTCTGAATTTTTGTTTTTACATGATTGAACATTTAAAAGTTATTTAAAAATATAAATGATGAACATTATAGCAAATACATTGACTAACTATCAAACTTGGTCTAATGTTGCTGCTTATGTCACTGTGTGTAATTATCAGTTTAAATTATTATATGGGAGTAATGGATGTATGTTAAGTTAATATAAAAGTTTTAAAAAGTTAGTTACACATACAGTATATAATAGTTAAGTATTATATATACAAACGTATTGTTGTTTAAACTTATCTTTATCACTAAATAACATATTGTGTATCGAGTAATAGCAAATTAATTTCTATGGTCACCTAAAACCTCTATTTTCTTTTGTTGTTGATTCTTCAGGCTTCTTACACATTTTCCTTTGAATGTCACTGAAGTCTCTTGAGGAACATTCAAAGCACTTAGTTGCTGATTAAAACTACAGTTGTCTAAATAAGATGAGCTGACAGTTCCTATGTATAGAAAACGTAAAAAGAAACATGACTTTTTTTTTAACTTCCTGGGATTATTTTGTGTTTAAAAGATTAGATTTCTGTCACATGAATGTTCAAGTGATTGTTTAATCTTGGGAAATATCTTCTTGAAGTTCGTGGCTTGAGAAGTGTTGGAAGGTCTGTTGATGTCTTCATCATGCTAATCACAGTAGCCGTAGGTAGTGTCTTGATGCGTAGCCATTTACTGAAACCCATATGTATGGAATGTGAAAATGGCTTAGGAACCACAAATATCGTATCGGATGTCCAGAGGTTTCTGGGAATGAGGAAATATGGATTTTTGAGTTGCGTTTGTGTTTATGTGCATCGTACGATTTCCATTAATATCTCACGAACACAGTGTATAATGGTGAAAAGTTTTGTTTAAATATTGGCAAGTGCATCCAATGAGACAAATGAGATGATGGTTAGTGGACATCCTGAAACAGTAATAGGCTTCCCTTTATCTGCTCTATTTACAGGCTAGCAAGTGAGAATCTGGTCGATTCACAGGCTAGCAAGCAATAATTTGGTCTATTCACAAACTACCAAATAAGAGTCTGTTCTATTTACAAGCTGCCCCCCAGTGGTATGTCTGCGGACTTATACTGTTAGAAACCGGGTTTCGATACCCGTGGTGGGCAGAGCACAGATAGCCCTTTGTGTAGCTTTGTGCTTAATAACAAACAACAATTTACAAGCTAGCAAACAAGATTTTTGGTGCTCTTTAGAAAATTTACTAGATTTTCTGGTGGTCAAAGTTCTTCAATAGGAAAACTGTTCATGTAACATTATAAAATATTAATTGTTTCTTGTTTGTGGTCCTGTACTCCTTGCTTTTTGTTCAAGTTTCTGTTCTCAGTCTTCAAACTTAATACATAATTGATTTTTTTTTCTGGTTTTCATTCATTGTGCTCATTTTCCCTTTTCTCGTATTACTTTTTATAGATTATTAAATCAGATTTAATAGCGTAAATAGTTTTGATTAATAATAATAAAGTAAACAGTGTTATAATAAAATAATGCTATTATTAATAATAATGTACCTTAACACATCTGTGATTTGAAACCTGTAATATGGTAACAGGAAAAATATCTGTTTAACAGTGATTTTAGTCACTTCCGTAAAGCCCGATTACTTCAACATTTTGGTGTTTAACATTTCTATAATAAATATCCTGTATGCATGTACATTTAGGATATGATTTTCTGACTTAGTCTTGTTTAGATTTTTAAGGTATTTAAAATTTTTGGAGAAGGTTTAAGTACATTCACAATTAAGAGGAGTTATTTTTTTTTTTGGTTAGGTTGAAGCGTGTCGTCTGTATACGAAGTATGCGTGTCGACCTAATAGTGTGCAGCTTATTGCTTTCCATGTTGAAAAGGTAAAGTATCTTGTAATTAAAGACCTTATTAATAACCGTTTGACTTTATTTAGTGACTAAAACATTTTGTAGAATAGTTATTTCTTTTGTCATCTGGTTGAAGTTGTATAATGTAAAGTGGTTAACGTTTCACTTTTGACAGAAACCCAAGTCATGTGAATAAAAAAACATGTCTGATGGTTTCCAATGCAACTTGCATGTTCTTAGAGTTCTCTTATCTCATAATTTTGAAGGATGCTTTAACAAAGCTAAATTTATTCTTCTCTCTCGAAAACCAAGGCTATATCAGAACTAAAATGTTCATGTAATTGACAGAAACACTTCCACTATTACATTTGCAGCCTAAATCTTTGACCTGATTTAATTCTGAAAGTTTGTGCCCGAGATGTTGACTTCCAACTGTAATGGTTTATCACCGGATAAACAGAAAACTGTTATACCGTCGTGCTATTCTAAATATTTGACCTGATTTAATTCTGAAAGTTTGTGCCCGAGATGTTGACTTCCAACTGTAATGGTTTATCACCGGATAAACAGAAAACTGTTATACCGTCGTGCTATTCTAAATATTTGACCTTATTTAATTCTGAAAGTTTGTGCCCGAGATGTTGACTTCCAACTGTAATGGTTTATCACCGGATAAACAGAAAACTGTTATACCGACGTGCTATTCCTAGACACTTCCTTTATATCATCTGGTGGTAAAATCCTTGTTACAGTCATTGCTGAAGTATGACCTGAGCTTGTCAGATGTTCCTCATCAGGATCCTCATGCACAGAAGGAACTCCGTGAGGATACTTATTTCCGTATATTCTGTTTTACTATCACATTTTGTTTCTCTTCTAAAATAGCTTTTGGACTGTGTGCTCATGCTGTTAAACTTTTATAAGGTACTAGTTCTTTGTTAGCAACTATTTTTGTTCCCTCGTGTCTTCAAGTTTTAAAACTTTCTTTGATTTATGTCTGTAGCACTATTTTGTTAAGAATTGTATGTCAAATAATAATGCTCCAACTGCTTTGTGAAGAAAATCAGGACATACTGGTTTGCCCTTGTACATCCATCTCAACTGTGTACACAGGATATCTCAAGACTGGATTGATGGATTTTGACCAAACATATACAACAGGTACTACATACAAAAACTTTTATCCTGATTAATTTTTAAAGTCATGAGCTAGAGGTCAAGGTCAAAAGATCGCTGGTACATGGAGAATCTTCTCCAAACTTGTGGACATGATATTTCAGTACAGGATAAAACGTATAAAACTGGTTCTACATACAAAGTTCTAGACTGGATTAGGTTTTGAAGGTCATGGGCAAAAGGTCAAGGTCAATTAATTTTTGGGGGGGGACTTGTATATACAATATGATATTAGTGAGGGCATAGATGTTTCATAAACACAATTTGCACATGTTTTATTTTCAAAATGTGTGTTTTAGTTTGAGATACTTTTGTAGTTTGTTTATACGTTCGTATTGTAGAGCCGTATCGTGATGAGTATCTTGGATATTTATCAATTCCTTGCTATCTGTTAGTTTCTATAGGACATTGCTACATGAGAAGCTAAATTATTGAAGTTTTGTACATGTCATCGCTTATCCACCTAATTTCTTTTGTTTCAAGTTTTCTCTTGTTGCGGATCATATCCTGATACCATTTGAGCATCTTTTTTTGTTCTATTACAAAAATCTTTAGATTGTACTGTAAAATTCCATCATTACTGGTAACCTTGGTCTTTTCAGAGTGTTTCTCTTCCATGGGTTGAACTAATTTCTAATTTCAATCGACCTTGCATCTGAACAAAAGACGTCGCAAGACAGCTTGGACTGTTGTGAACCTTTGATAGTTTTCGGCAGTTGAGCTTGGATAAATCTGTTGTTAGGGTTCTTCTTAGGCTTCAGTCAAGAAATCATCTTCAACTACCATGATGTCTAATAATGGTTGGAGACGGCTTGAATGGGTAATGAAGAAAACTTTGATATAAGTTTAACATAACAGCAAATACACAACCTTTCGACAAGGTTTTGTCATCATCAGGTCGAAACGTTGTACATTTGCTGTTATGTTAAACTTATATTAAAGTTTTTCTTCATTACCCATTCAAGCCGTCTCCAACCATTATTAGTCTCAAAATGGGTTCCTCGTCATCGAATTTGAATACCATGATGTCTGTGAGCCATCATCTCTTGTATAATATTTGGACTCATGTTGATCTTGAGGTTTATATGATAAGGTTAAACTTATTTTGTGGAGTTATTTATGTCCCAATAATTCCACTCTGCTGTGAAGTTCACCCCTGATTCCACTGTTGTGTCTTAAGTTTCACGCAGCACAGTAATCTGTTTGTTCAGGTGCCTAATATTTTTTCCAGTATAAACATCATTCCATTATTTTCCTAGCTTTCCTTATGAAGTGACCAATATGGTCGCGAATCAGTGTGTTATCCTAAGATGATTGTTTCATTTTTGCTTTTTTAAATCTTTGATTACATATTCCTCCAATGATTGAGATTTTGTGTTCTCTTTCTGTTACAGGTTTTTTTTATATGTACATCATTTTGAGAATGTGTAATTTTTAGTTTTATCTTTTGAAACTATGCTTGTTTTTGTTTTCTCTTTCAACCATACCAAGTTTGAAACGTGTAAAATGTACATTTTCTCGATATATATTTTAGTTAGCAAATATAATATAACCCTGTTGTTTTATTGAATTAAAAAACTTCCCACAATCTAGATATTAAGAATATAAGGCTATTTAGTTTGAAGAAAGTGGACAATATATATGTATATATTTTACTTGCTAGGCTGTGAGACAAAGTTTGTACGGCCGACCTGGTGTTTGCTATATTGACCTTCCAGGTAGCCTAATAAACCAAGAAGTACCATTAAAATCTTTGAAAGAAGTTCACCGATGTCCTGATCCTCCACAGATATTTGCAGATCAGAGATTGGTGTCAAAAGCTTTTGATCTTCTGAAGAATTCTAAACAACCATTAGTTATAATTGGTAAAGGTATGTCTGGTAAATTTTTCTCGTAATTCCAACCGTGTCGTGTGATAGATATGTTTCTGCATGTATAATATGGTTTATAATGTTAAAATGTTATCAGGGTGAATGATAATCCTTGAAAGTCTTTGGGAATTGAGAATGGAATTTCAAATGCTTGAAAAGGGACCTCTTTGTTTCAGAAGTACTTGAAAATATTGTAATAGCAGAACATATCAATATATCTAACTCCAGTGTATGTTGTGGAGTTGAACGCAATAAATGTAATCTTTCTGTTCTTTTTAGTCAACATTCATATGTTGAACAAATAAATAGGAATTTTATAACATTTCAGTGGAATCTGATTGATTTTGATGTAAATTTTAAATTCCAAAGTGTGCTTAAAAAGCATTCTGAGAGTGCTTAGAAAGTCCATGAAACTGATCTTAGCAGTACAGCATGAAACATATGGACAAATGTTCATAATTCATGTATAATGAAAGTGTCATAGGTCCTTGAACTTGATCTGAGCAGTACAGCATGAACCATATGGACAAATGTTCATAATTCATGTATAATGAAAGTGTCATAGGCCCTTGAACTTGATCTGAGCTGTACTGTATGAACCATATGGACAAATGTTCATAATTCATGTATAATGAAAGTGTCATAGGTTATTGAAATTGATCTTAGCAGTACTGTATGAACCATATGGACAAATGTTCATAATTCATGTATAATGAAAGTGTCATAGGCCCTTGAACTTGATCTGAGCAGTACTGTATGAACCATATGGACAAATGTTCATAATTCATGTATAATGAAAGTGTCATAGGCCCTTGAAATTGATCTGAGCTGTACTGTATGAACCATATGGACAAATGTTCATAATTCATGTATAATGAAAGTGTCATAGGTTATTGAAATTGATCTTAGCAGTACTGTATGAACCATATGGACAAATGTTCATAATTCATGTATTATGAAAGTGTCATAGGTCCTGCATGTATAATGAAAGTGTCATAGGTTCTTGAAATTGATCTGAGCAGTACAGTATGAACCATATGGACAAATGTTCATAATTCATGTATTATGAAAGTGTCATAGGTTCTTGAAATTGATCTGAGCAGTACAGTATGAACCATATGGACAAATGTTCATAATTCATGTATAATGAAAGTGTCATAGGTCCTCTACAGCATGAACCATATGGACAAATGTTCATAATTCATGTATACTCTACTCATTATGGGAGCATAAAAAAATGAATGCCTGGTTCATAGGGCATTCTTGCCCAATACTGGTTCATATTGCTATATTTACATATTTC